CTCCTGGCCTGTGTGTGTGTGTGTGTGTGTGTGTGTGTGTGTGTGTGTGTGTGTGTGTGTGTGTGTGTGTGTGTGTGTGTGCGCGTGTGCGTGTGCGTGTGCGTGTGCGTGTGCGTGTGCGCGTGCGTGCGTGTGTGTGCGTGTGTGCGCGCGCGCGTGTGTGCGCGCGCGCGTGCACGGGTGTGTTGAATATGAAATATTTTTCTACAATAGCCGAAAAGAGGTACATCACACAGAGTTGGTTAATGTGTCAACAAATCAAACACCTTCAAATGGTATCTGACAGGTGCCTCAGAGGAATATATATATATATATATATATATATATATATATATATATATATATATATATATATATATATATATATATATATATATATATATATAAACTAGAAAAATCACACTGGAGTATCTGGGAGATTACTACAATCCTTGTAGATCTTGCAGTGCAATTAATGAAGAGTACTCGATCCCCCGTCCGTTTATCACGAGCAATCATTCAGTGCAACCTGCCAGCAGAGTAGCATTTAGATCGTGCAGAAAAAAAAGCGAAATGCAGTGGGAGCAAATAATGAACATTTAGATGGGAAAACAGGTAGTATCCTGATCTGTAGTGCACTAATATAGTGTCGCTCTTGAAGCAGGAACATACAGGAGAAGAATGAAGCAGCCGATCATGCGTAAGGTTCACTAGTGTGTCTGGCTTTTAGAAGAGGCATGGCTTGTAACCAGGCTACCCAGCGTTTTGAGGTATCTGTAGCTGAGTGGCTTAAGGCGTCACGCCACTCTCACGGCCAGCAGCAAACGTGGGTTCGGATCTTTCTGGCCTCCATCTTTGTGTATATACCTCCGCTTATTTCTGCGTGGTGCATTGAGATATATATATATATATATATATATATATATATATATATATATATATATATATATATATATATATATATATATATATATATATATTAATGTCGTGCCGAAAATGTAAAACTGGTCAATTAGCAAGAAGTCGTTTAAAATTAAGTCCTTTCTGAAATTTTCTCTTATACGTTTAAAGATATATTTTTTTCATTAATGTTAATGTAAAAATTTTTAATTTTGACCAAAAGAATCTTAGAAAACTTACCTAACCTTATTATAACAAGAACAATTTATTTTAGCCTAACCCAACTAAATATATTTTAAATACGTTTACAATAATTTAGTACTAAACAAACAAAATCAAATATACTTTTTTCGTTAGGTTCAGAATGATTTTGGCGAAATTATTGCATATACAAATTTTCACTTGTCCTATATGGCAAGATGAGCGTTGCTATTTAAGCCAAGATCGCAAGTTCTGCCTATTCGGCACGATATATATATATATATATATATATATATATATAATATATATATATATATATATATATATATATATATATATATATATATATATATATGCCAACGAAAAAAAGTCGTAATGAACGATTGTAACTTAATTTCGTATTATATATTATATAATTATTATGGTCGCAGCTTTGTGCTTCACCGACGCATGAAAAAAGTCGAGCTCAAACACCATTACCTTAGGCTCACACTTCTCGTCTCTACTACTACTATTATTATTATTAGACAAACCCGTAGGGATTATACACAACCCGTTGCATGGAAAGCAATCAAGTTTGATCCAAGAGGAGAGGGAGGCTGCAATTCCAGAAAGAGGACTCGACCATCATCAAAGCAAGCCTCTATGAAGTGTGCAGACGATAAAGTCTGCGATTGCTAACTGATAAGGGAATCATGGCGAAATTTCTTCAGTAGTACCACATGTCACAAATCCAGCAGAGCATCTGGTAGGTCCAGTGGCCCTTGTATAGGCAGGTATCATCGTATATTAATGCACAAAATACAGTTGATAGCATTTCATTGAGAAACAATTTCGTTCACCAGCGTCTTGAATCAGTTCTGCTGGTACTTAGACAAATATGACAAGTTGCAGTCAGTACCTAGAATATCGTAAGACTTTATAACTGCAGCGTGTTGATGCCTGCAGTTAGTGCGTTCTCTGTTACAACGCCTTGATGCTGCATGTTCGTGGTGTATTATATGAAACAGAAGTAAAAGGCCACTGATCTGACACCTTTATTTAATCTGCGAATTTGGGAGAAACTGAAACCACGAAGACACAAAAGTTATTTGACCTTCCAACAGCATACAGTGACATGGAAGTTTCCTGCTTCCAACAGCACTAGGACATGCAAGTTATTGGGTCTCCCAGCTCCTCCTAGGACACGTAAGCTAATTGGTTAGAAATAACACTAGGAACCAAAAACTTTATACTTGATGGTAAGTTACTAGGGAAGCATCTGAGAACGGACGCTGAAAACACCTGAAAACTGGTCATAAGACAACAATTGGGAACTAACCCCAAAAACAGTTGAGAACTAACCGCAAAAACAGGTGTGAAAAAACAAAGGTCGCTGAGAACTGGTCAAGAGCAGCTGGGAAGTGACAACAGATGTGAGATAACCTTTACACATTATTATTACTACACTTATAATGATAATTATAATATAATAAAGGTAATTATTATTGGCTTTGCATTTCACTTAAAATATCTTCTCAATTATTTAGCTGCAAGCTAGAACTTAACTGATAAAAACTATTATTATTACTTTTAGTAGTAGATGAAATACTGGTATTACGTTATTTTATAGCTATTTGTGCGTATATTGCTAATATATTATATGCACAATAAAATATTATATACTATAACGGACATGTTTTGAAATGGACAAACTATGTTTACGGCTGAGGCTTTTGCCCTCGTCTCCCCTCGACTAAAAATAGAAAGCGAAAGGAAAAAAAGACTAAAGTTGATAAGTTAAACACTCGCGATAGTTTTGTAAACATCGACAGATACGCGAATTGTAGTTACCTACTTGCCTACCTACCTGGAGTCTGCCTATTTACCTGGAGGGTGTTCCGGGAGTCAACGCCCCCGCGGCCCAGTCTATGACTAGGGCTCCCGGTTAGATTATTAGGGTAAGATTCGTCAGGTAATAGGACAATGGTTTCCCGACCCGGATGCTAGTCAAATGATTACCCGCCGCTGGAGCTTCTGGTTATCTGACCGAGGCCTTCCGCTGGCTTACCGGTCCTACCACATTTAAAAATTAAGATAAACTATAATGGTGGTAGGCTTTTAGGTGGATCAGCGCCTCATCTTGTAAAATAGCTTCTACAATAATAACAAATACTCCAGCAAAACTATGGGACATTCCAAGTGAGAAATTTTTTGTGTCAAAACTGTATCTTTTTGGAAAATAAAGTATCAATTTTATATTATTCTTATATGGTGCTATTTTAAAACCCCTACAAGCCACCTTAAGTTGGGTGATACCTGTGGATTTAGAGATTGTGAAAAATCTGCACTACGAAACACAGGGAAGGGGGGAGGAGGGAGAATGTCCGGGGGAGGGTGTACCAGTGAACTGTTTGGAAAGGAGTACCCCAGGGGCTAGGGACGGGAGGGAGAAAAACAGAGAACAGTGAGGAAGCTCTCTTGAGGGTTCTGTAGAGTACCGTGAAGTAACGTCTTCACGGTACTCTACAGAAGGATTAGGAGAACATGGAAAGAAGTTTAAAAAAAAAAGTTATGGACAGCACGATTAGAGTTTCAGATTTTGCCGGCGAAGCGGCTAGGTTACCGGGCGCCTCCATAACCATCCTTTGTACAGTAGCGCAAGACAATGTGGATATACAAAAGGCCTAGGAACTAGGCTTTGAAATTGTTAACAGGATTACGTCCAAATTTATATCTTCAATTGATTTACCTGTTACAAACTAATTTAGCAAATTTGCTTAATATGTTTGGTATCTTACTTTCATTAATATTATATCTTGACATAACACATAGGTCATTATAATACATGTATTTTCCTAAACGGGAAGTTTGGCCATTTGCAACTAGAAAACGCGCACTCGCGCGCGCACACATATACATGCACACGCACATAGTCACGCACACCCCAACAATGTCACATATGTCATAGACATGTACATGAATTAGCACACACAGTGGCAAAGACCCAGAGTTTGGTCGTGAGTCTAGTGGAGGAGACACTGAGCATGCTTCCCTACACTTGTTGCTCCTATACACCTAGAAGTAAAATACTTACCTTTAAGATAGCAAATTGTTGTCAACTTTATCCTGGGGAAGACCAAGCCAATAAGCCACACTAATTGGTCTGGGTTAACCTGGGTTACCAACCCTCCGGATTAATCATCTGTATAAGGTATTTTCTTGAATTATTTGAATCGAAAAGAACAATTAAGAGATCTAGAAATTAATGAAACGTTCCGTCAGTGCAACGTGTCCTTAATAAAGGTATCTGATAGTGCATACATGTAGCATACGTGTCTTTTACCGACAAAAATATAAAAAATGGTTATAATCATAGCCATAATAGTTTTCAAAGAAGTGGACCGGTAAGCCAGTGGAAGGCCTCGGTCAGGTGACCAAAACCTGTGGGTCATCAAATGGCTAAGACCCGCGTCAGGAAACACTTGTCCTGTTTCCTGACAAACCTTTTACCGACATCTTGTCGGTATCACCATACTATTCCACCAAGGTGGGAAGTGGAGACAAATGGCACAAAGCCGACAAGTGGTGAAAATGACGCAACTGCAGAGAGGAACATTAACAAGACGTTTAACCCGTGGACAAGCTTCTTCATTCATTTGAATAAATGGTTTTAAAAACAGACTAGTTAATAAATGAGACACTTATGCAACATTTGGGTATGTTTATTGTGGAAACGTTTCTCCAGCCAGTGGCTTTTTCAGCCCAACGCAGAGAAAGGTGGAGTTTGAGGTTACCAGTCGTCCTTCAGCCTGGAGTCGATGTGTTCAGTCCATCAGTCTTGATAAAATTGCCCAGAATAAGGCTGTCCACAGGAAAAATGTCTCAATTAATCTCTCTGCACTGCTGTTTTCAATAAGTGAAAGGTTGTTGTTACTCACAGAAGACGACAAGAGTGACGGTGTCTGTGAGAGGGGCGTGGTGGAGGGCTGGGTTGGCTCCTGTACACGACAGCGTCGCTCCGTCGTGCTGACGACTTACTACTATCGTCAGCGTCGCCGTCGTTACGTTTCCCCCGTCCTCTATCTGCGGGAGAAACCACGCGTGTGGTGAGGGCAGGAAGGGGTTGTGGCAGGGAAGGCGGTGAGAGGAGACTGTTTGAGGTTTGTATCAAGTAATGAAAAACAACTTGTTCCATCATTTCAATTTCCTATTTTCAAAGTTATAACCTCGGAAATTTGTCAAATGTCAGGTGGGGTGGTTGTTGTAAGAGTGGTGGAGTGGTTGTTGGGGGCTCTTGGAGTTGTTTAGGGAGATGGTTGTGGGGGTGGTAGCAGTTCTGCGGTTGTTGGGTACTTGTGGTGATGTAGTTCTGGGTTTCCTGTGGGATGGTTTTCGTTGTATGACTAGAGTGATCTAGGTGGGGCAGGGTATGTGTGAAGGAGAGGGCAGTAAAATGACAACTGAAGGAGGAGGCTGTGGAAGGATAGGGATAAAACAGTGTAAAAAAATTTGCTTTGATGCACCGTGGATAACGGGGGAAGAGACGGGAGAGGGAGATAGTGTGGGACTGTCGTAGTATAATGAGATACATGATACAGCGTATGTGATGAGAGAGGAGGGGGAGAAAGCATGGGAGGGTGAAGGCAGTATAATGAGAGAATGATACTCACAGCGTGGGTGACATGGGGGAGGCGAGCGTGGGCGCGCCACCAGGTGAGGTGGGCGGGTGGGTGGGAACCCACAGCTCGACACACTAGACGCAGGGTGGTCCCCGCCCGCACTCCCGCACCACCGCCCACCACCCGCACCTCCACCGGCGATACTATCAAGGCAAGAAATAAATTATAAATTAAATCTAACGACAAGAATAATACAATAATAATAATAATAATAATAATAATAATAATAATAATAATAAAATAATAATATCTTCTTAAGGCAGCGAGATATTGTTGGAAAGTAATGTCACATACTAATTATAAAAGCAATCTATTTTATAACTGCAAACTTACCAGTTCTTGCAGTGCTTATCTTGTACAGTAAAATCTACCCACACACTAAGTTCAGACACACTGCAGCTCAAGCTTTCATTGAGACAACGTTTCGAGCTTCATGAAGTCATGGCGTGGACTTGATAAGAGATCTAAACCGATCGGAAAAGTTTCAAAAGAGCGTTCTGCAATATGTCTCATTTCCTCGCCATTCTCAGCTATACAGTTAGCTCCAATGAACTCCTAGGTTAAGTCGTGTCCTACCCATTTCACGGACATCTACTTGTTGAATTCTCGACTCGGCATAAGATTTACCTGCCACTGCGGCGCCTCTGTCGAAATTCATCATCTCATTACACCATAATTGCACAACTTTGTACGTTTCCTGGCAATTCTTGGAAACTGCATTGCCAGACGTATCGCAGCCGAATTTTTTTTTTAATTTTGAAATTAATGGTTAAGTTTTCATACGTTCATGTCATTCGGTCTAACCCATCGCAACGATTAAATTGATTAAATTGATTAAAAACATAAAAATTGTTCATGGATAAATGTCGTGCTTATAGAAACCTGCTTTGGAAAACTGTCCTAAGCACTCTAGATCCAAACCAGTTTTTGGTAAAACTGAACGACAAAGCGTACGATGTTTGTAGGAACTCTATATAACTATTAAAGCTGAGACAGATCAGATATATGGAGAGTTAGAGCGTAGATGACTAAACAAGAAGAAGAATGCCGAAGAAAAATGAGGAGAGAGAGAGAGAGAGAGAGAGAGAGAGAGAGAGAGAGCGAGCAAAGATAAATATAATACCAGAGAGAAGCATGAAAGGAACAAAAAAACAGTTCGAGAAATTTGTTAAAAAATCCAAATTACATTTTCACATACGCAAAATCCAAGTTCTAAGCCTCCCTACGATATATAGAAATAAAACTAGTTGCATGAATCTTATTTACGCCGGTGTGGTCCAGTGGTTGACACACTGGCCTGCGAGTTTGAGGACTCACTTGCCCTGGGTTCGAGCCCCACCCGTTCTGAGATTTATTTCAGTCAGTGTTATTACGATTTTGTGATTAAGTCTTTCAGTATAGAAATGAGCGAAATGTTAAAATAACAATTTGAATCAATGTTCAGAAATTCCATAGATCCTGGATAAATGAAAGTCCAGATAATTCTTCCCATATTACAAATTTGACATTACCACAAATCATAGGTACTGGACCATACCCCCGGCCGGGATTGAACCCGCGGTCATAGAGTCTCAAAACTCCAGCCCGTCGCGCTAACCACTAGACCAGCTAGCCACAATAAGATTCATCCAACTAGGTATATTTCTACACCATAGGAAGGTTAGCACAGGCACCTCTGTGACCACAAATGCAAGTTTTTACAGACGAATCTCCAGCTAGCGTGGCCGTGACGAACTCTAGCTCAAGTCCCTTCACTGCCGTCAACATGACTTAAGAAATCGTAATGACACGATTGCAAATAAACCATACCCCCGGCCGGGATTGAACCCGCGGTCATAGAGTCTCAAAACTCCAGCCCGTCGCGCTAACCACTAGACCAGCTAGCCACAATAAGATTCATCCAACTAGGTATATTTCTACACCATAGGAAGGTTAGCACAGGCACCTCTGTGACCACAAATGCAAGTTTTTACAGACGAATCTCCAGCTAGCGTGGCCGTGACGAACTCTAGCTCAAGTCCCTTCACTGCCGTCAACATGACTTAAGAAATCGTAATGACACGATTGCAAATAAACCATACCCCCGGCCGGGATTGAACCCGCGGTCATAGAGTCTCAAAACTCCAGCCCGTCGCGCTAACCACTAGACCAGCTAGCCACAATAAGATTCATCCAACTAGGTATATTTCTACACCATAGGAAGGTTAGCACAGGCACCTCTGTGACCACAAATGCAAGTTTTTACAGAGGTGCCTGTGCTAACCTTCCTATGGTGTAGAAATATACCTAGTTGGATGAATCTTATTGTGGCTAGCTGGTCTAGTGGTTAGCGCGACGGGCTGGAGTTTTGAGACTCTATGACCGCGGGTTCAATCCCGGCCGGGGGTATGGTTTATTTGCAATCGTGTCATTACGATTTCTTAAGTCATGTTGACGGCAGTGAAGGGACTTGAGCTAGAGTTCGTCACGGCCACGCTAGCTGGAGATTCGTCTGTAAAAACTTGCATTTGTGGTCACAGAGGTGCCTGTGCTAACCTTCCTATGGTGTAGAAATATACCTAGTTGGATGAATCTTATTGTGGCTAGCTGGTCTAGTGGTTAGCGCGACGGGCTGGAGTTTTGAGACTCTATGACCGCGGGTTCAATCCCGGCCGGGGGTATGGTTTATTTGCAATCGTGTCATTACGATTTCTTAAGTCATGTTGACGGCAGTGAAGGGACTTGAGCTAGAGTTCGTCACGGCCACGCTAGCTGGAGATTCGTCTGTAAAAACTTGCATTTGTGGTCACAGAGGTGCCTGTGCTAACCTTCCTATGGTGTAGAAATATACCTAGTTGGATGAATCTTATTGTGGCTAGCTGGTCTAGTGGTTAGCGCGACGGGCTGGAGTTTTGAGACTCTATGACCGCGGGTTCAATCCCGGCCGGGGGTATGGTTTATTTGCAATCGTGTCATTACGATTTCTTAAGTCATAGGTACTGGAAGAATGTACTCAAAACGAGCACATCATAAGAAAAGCAGGTAGACCATATCACAGAAAGTAAAGAACAGGTAAAGATTTGGGAACAATTGTCAAATATTTCGTTTCTTGAACACAACCCATAGGCCAGGAAAATGACATAATCTAATATCAGACATTTTAAAACACGAGAAGCAATGCCAGTGATGGTACTTTTAAAACCAATATTTCTCACACGACTTGGATATTATTCTACGGAGGAAAGAAAAGGGGGGACTTTACGAGACAACTGTGATATCAACACTTTTAGATATGTGGGTCATGGGCTCTAACGCTGCAGCGAGGAAGACATGACGGAAGGAATGCTCAGAAATGTCCCTCTTTTCAGACTATGATGTGAAGTTAATGAGGAAAATTCAGTCGGAGGAGGATAAGGCAGGACTACAGAGGGATCTGGACAGGCTGCAACCCTGGTCCAGCAAATGGCTCCTGGAGTTCAACCTCACCAAGTGCAAAGTTATGAACATCGGGGAAGGGCAAAGAAGACGGCAGAGTACAGTCTAGGGGGGCCAAAGACTACAAACCTCACTCAAGGTAAAGGATCTTGGAGTGTGTATAACACCGAGCACATCTGAGGCGCACATCAACCAAATAACTGCTGCAGTATATGGGAGACTAGTAAACATAGGAAAAGCGTAACGACTCCTCAGTAATGAGTCGTTCCGTACCCTGCACACCGCCTACGTCACACCCATATTGTAGTATGCAGCTCCAGTTTGGAACCCACACTTGGCCAAGCACGTCAGGAAATTAGAGAAAGTGCAAAGGTTTATAACGACACTAGTCCTGGAGCTAAAGGGCATGTCCTACGAGGAGGGAACTCGACGAGGTGACACTCGAGGACAGAAGGGACAGGGGAAGGACATGAAAACGACATATAAAATACTGAGAGGAATCGACAAGGTGAACAGACAGGATGTTCTAGAGATAGGACACAGTAACAAGGGGTCACAACTGGAAGTTGAAGACTCAGATGAGTCACAGGAATATTACGAAGTATGTCTTCAGTCATAGAATTGTCAGAAAGCGGAATAGTCTGGAAAGTGAGGTAGTGGAGGCAAGTACCATACATAGCTTTAAGAAGAGGTATGATAAAGCTCATGGAACAGGGAGTGTGGACCTAGTAGCGACCAGTGAAGAGGCGGGGCCAGGAGCTGTGAATTGAGCCCTGCAACCACACACACACACACACACACACACACACACACACACACACACACACACACACACACACACACACACACACAACATACACACAACATACACACATACACACACATACACACACACATACACAACATACACACACACATACACACACATACACAACATACACACACACACATACACAACATACACACACACACACACACACACACACACACACACACACACACATACACAACATACACACACATACACAACATACACACACACAATACACACATACACACACACACACACACATACATACACACACATACATACACATACATACACATACACCACACATACACCACACATACACCACACATACACCACACATACACCACACACACACCACACACACACACACACACACACACCACACACACACACACACACACACACACACATACACACACACACACACACACACACACACACACACACACACACACACACACACACACACACACACACACACACACATACACCACACACACACACACACACACCACACACACACACACACACACACACACACACACACACACCTAGACTCAGTAATCTCTCACAGTATTCGGTGTTGGTAGCAAACTCAAAATATATTTATATTCATGAAACTAGATCACATGTGATACAACTCGTGCAGTCTATATATAAAAAAATATAGTGAAAGCACAAAGTTTTCAATTAATTTATTAGAAAATAGACATGTTTAAATGGATTATTAGTGCTAGTGAAGACCATGTATTTTTTATTATTTCAATATACTAATGAATTAATTTTTAATACGTTTGAATTGTATTTACACACACGCAAGCGCATACGCATCCCCCCCCCTCACATATTTATACATGGCCGTATTAAAGCGTGGGCTTCAGGGGCTGTAACTCAGGGGCTTCCACCAGCTGAAGGACCTCCACCAGCTGATGGACCTCCACTAGCTGGAGGACCTCCACCAGTTGGAGGACCTCCAGCTGGAGGACCTCCACCAGCTGAAGGACCTCCACCAGCTTGGAGGACCTCGAGAGATGTTCTCAACAATTTACAATTTAGTGATGTTTTGGAGGAATTTGTTTCCCAGAAATTACACAAAGGAAATATTGAATTTTAATTTTGGTTACCCTTGTAAAAATAATTTTTTTTCTTTAACGGTTTTACTTTTGGAAATATCGATATATTACTAGGAGCCTCATAGTACCTGTAGCCCAGGAGCCTACAAAATCTTAATCAGGCTCTTCATGTATATATATATATATATGTCGTGCCGAATAGGTAAAATTAGTTAATTAGCAAGAACTCATTTAAAATGTTCTCTTATGCTTCTAAAGATATAGTTTTTCATTTATGTTAATGTAAACATTAATAATTTTGTACCAAAAGAACCTTAGAAAACTTACCTAAACTTATTGTACCAAGCGTAACTAAATTTAGCATAACCCAACTAAATATATTTTAGACAAGTTTGCAATAACTTAATAAACACAATGAAATTTATTTTTTTCGTTAGATTCACAATGATTTTTGCGAAATTATTACACAAATTTTCGCTCCCTTATTCGGCAAGAAGAGCGTTGCTATTGAAGCCAAAATCGCAAGTTTTACCTATTCGGCACGACATATATATATATATATATATATATATATATATATATATATATATATATATATATATATATATAATATATATATATATATATATATATATATATATATATATATATATAATATATATATATATATATATATATGAATATATATATATATATATAATATATATATATAAATATATATATATATAAATATATATATATATATATATATATATATATATATATATATATATATATATATATATAAATATATATATATATATATATATATATATATATATATATATATATATATATATATATATATATAATAATAATAATTTCCACCTTGTTGCCAATGTGGACGTCAGAAATGTCGGCGGAGAAGTTACAATTATGTTTTGAGAAAACCAACTGGTTTTAGGAATCCGTCAAGATGTTTAGGCAACGGCTCATTCTTTCATCAGGAAATTACCAGGAGTTTAAATAGTATTTATACGTTCAGATTACTTAAAAGGAGATGTAATTTTGAGCCGTTAGAGAGTAATTCCCTGTTATCCCCTCTTGTTTCGGTTGGTTACAGCAAAGATTTAATTTCTTGGATGAGCACGAAGTTGCCTCGTCAGTGGGCGTCAAGAAAAAAAAATTCCACTTGCTCCTTTTCTCTTCTGCTTATTGGTATGGGAACTCGCAGATTGTACAGTGAACCTTGGTTCGTGGATGACTGCACTCTGGCAGGTACAAGAGTAGCATTTGAGATGCTTAGCGGGACGGCCGTCTACACAACCTGAGGTGTATTTCTGTGAATATATACTGTGCTTTCTCTCATTGGTCCCTATCTTAGAGGTTAAAGTATTCTTACCCGATAGTATTCAGTTTTTACTCGGCTGGAACTAATGACCTCTGTTAATCGAAGCACCTAAATTAGAAAGAGGAAAATATTAAGGAGTTCTTTTCAGATGATACATGAAAGAGACCCCGAGCCTAGTTCGCAATCCTTCATGCTAGCCAACCTCAGCCAGTCATATCTGCAGTTAGGTGTATCTTAACTGAAACATCAACCATCTTTGAAATGTTAACATCTCACATGAGCAAATACCATTATTAAACTAAACACAGATCTTCGAATTACATTACAATTTACAATGTCGGCATTTAAGCAATTTTTTAAAAAGTACGTATGTAATTCCCCCCTGAAAATTATGGTTACGTGATTTGAAGTGTACACACAATTGTTAAGTCAACATTATTAACTATTAAAATTTATTGCAAGTCTGGCTGATAAATTTGTCTAATTTATACAAGAAAATACTTAACAAAAGTGTTTAGTTATGAAGAATTTGCTTCTTTTAAAACGTTAATAATTTTACTTTTCAGTAATAAGAGTTGCGAACTGTAATAGTGGCAAGTTATTAGCTATTTAAACATTTCTTTTTTAAAAAGTCTCGTACACTGATACGTAAAAAGTGAGAAGCCGTAGATAAATGGAACACAGATAAAAAAAAAAGGATCTGTACATTTTGACCCGTTAACATGTGCAATATTTGTGTAACTGACAGAGGCGGCACCAGAATTTTAATACAGGCGGCGGAAACATAGGGGTGGCTATCTAGTTGGTAGGGGAGAGCCGGGAGATTTGTTTTGAAGCTGCGTAATTATTACTGTTTTTATTGTTCGAGCTCTCGGGGACTGAAGCCCCCAAGGCGCTCCCCTTGACGCTGCCACTAGTAACTGGTGCTATTCTCATGGAAAATAACGGTGATTAGTTTCTCACGTGTGATATTGAGGGTGACTGAGGCGGTGCGTGGCTGGACCACGGCAGTGTCTTGGACTTTGCGACCTGATGAGGCGTGGGCGTGGTGGTCCGTGGGCGTGTGGGCGTGGCAGGTGAGAGTCACCCCTAGCAGCTCCCTCATCGCCTGGATGGAGAGCGTCGCATCCACCGTGTACGTCCCTGGTGGGGGCAAGACATTGTTATCTGCATTTGTTTATTGCTTAATATGTTCACCCGTTATAAACAGTCGCAGTTGACTGTAACGAGTCACAGTTGACCCACAATTGAAAAATGAAAACTCGTGACTTGACAAGAGTCCAGGATGGCTCGAAAAGCCATCAAAATTTCATTTCTCAAAGTTGAATTTGGTGTGAGTTGTTATAGTGTGTCATCTACGTACTTAACCATACAAAACAGTACATGTAATAATAGGAATATCATCATATCTCTTATACTCGGTAATCAATCCTCAGCGATACCTACACAAGATCCGTTCTCTAAATATTAGCCTAAATATAACATAAAATACTTAATAATAACGCACATGGAAATAGATATTCAGAAGATTAGTTAGGCTGTACATTTCGTTTCCTTTCTGGGATCCTCTTCAGGAGAAGAGGAGCCCAAGAGGGAAACGAAATATTCCAATTAATCCTCTGAGTTTGTCTCCATGTGTCAATTATTGAGCACTGACAAGTGTTCATTACACTTCAGTTATCTATAGCAAAGTTTTTATAAAACATAAAAGCTTACTGGTGTTCACTCGTATTTCCGTTTACTATAGTCAAAAACATACATTATGTCCTGCATATATAACGAGTATTATTTATCTAGAGATATCGCAGATAATTAAATGACGCCGCCCTTTTCCTACGGAGAGTGAGGGAAGTTCACTAACTTCATGCATCAGTAAAATTGTAATATTGAATATTATTGAGCACATTACTGAAACATAAAATGAAATTAGGATGAAGGAAGTAGTGCTGAGAGGAATAAGAACTTGATAAAATTTGCATCAGTGAATTAGTTTCCAAACAAATTTTGCTACATTTGTATTTGTTTTTTAAAAAAAACAAATAAGGCTTCTCCTTAAACAGATTCTTGAAAGGTGGAAGCACTGCAGATTGCATCAAAACCTTCCTTGCAAATAGCAAGGCACAGTATTCAGAATTCAGTTTTAGTTGACTTGAAAAGAACTTAGATAAAAGCACAAGATGTGGTCATATTTAATATATTAGGGATAGGACTTAAATGTGAATTATTATTGTAAACATAGGACTTGGCTATCAAAATATCCAGATTCTAATTCTATGATAAGTCCTCCATGGTACATATATATCACAAGGGAATATCATCACCAGCTCATTTAATGCTCTGATGAACGCAGTTAAGCAGATCAATTATAGTGATGGTTCTGATGGAATATTTAATCACCGTTATATGACGAAATTATCTAGAACTGAAAAAAAAAATGATAGAAAGTGCAAGGGATATATAACGTCAAAATAACGAAATATTTCTCACCTGTTCAGAGGAGCTGACAGAAATTTCAATTAGCAGAACGCATAAATGATTGACTCTCCTAATATATGTATCCAATGTGTACGTGGACACAATGATAGAAATAATTCAACATTGTAATAATAGGTTATAGTGGTTGTGGAGCATCAATATTAAAGCTACAAGTGATGTAAACATGACCTATATTATGTAGACTATAAACTAAGCTAACCTTGTATTCTTGCTTTACAAAATTCAAGAAACTTGTGTAAGTTTCGAATAAATCTTTGAGAATAATTGAGCTGCCATGGAACTGCCAAAATCTGCAACTTAAGAACCGAGTTGTAACTATCATCCGTCTATGCCAGAACTCAAAAGTTGAAAGCCACAGTGGCCGCAACCCAAAAAAAAACGTCCTTAGTAGAGGACATTACCTTAAGAAATTGAAAATATGTCATATACACCTAAATTATTAAGTGGAAAAAGTTATAGTAGGAAGGACATGTCACTCTTGTGTGGAAAGCGAAATAATGAAGGTCATTAAACTCGAAGTGAAGAAGTGTGTTAAATAGTTGACTGCAGTGAGTGAATACCCAGACCTAAACAACAGAATTAAAGTAATGGATCCTGAAAGCTGCTTGTAAGTTGCTTTTGGATCTGAGTTTATTATAGCTAAAATCCATAAAAACACGGAAACGATGGTAGTGTTCAGGAGTCGTTTAGCTTATCTTTATAAATGACTTATTATGGCAGTATGTTTACTCACAGGAATGACACTGCCCAATCAATTCTTCCCTTAGGTCAAAATCTCGGAAAAAAAACTACGTTTGACTAGTTCGGGTTGAGGAGCAACAATACTTGCAAAGCCTAACACAGAAAATGAAACAATTGCAAGGGGGGACCATGCTATTGTCGGAGGCTTGGCGTCTGGGGCGACCACGCGCTTACTGTGCACATCTTTCCTCCTGTGCAACATGTATAATAAAACAAGATCCGAATATGCAGAATAAAAAAACATACAGTTTTTATTTAGAAAGGTCAAATAATAATAGATGACACCGGTTGCTTCTGTTGTACCAGTGTCGAGAAAAGTTTTCCTGTGATGATCAGTAAGGGCTGAGGCCGCTGCTCACTATGACCAAGAAACCAATTTGTAAAAGTGTGTAACACAGGTAACACTGAGGAGGGAAAACTCTGATTACGTCTATGAAGTTGCAAATGCATGACAAAACACTTGGACTGAAAAAGTGTTTCTTAGCACAAACTGTATATATATATATATATATATATATATATATATATATATAAAAATATATAATATATATTATATATATATATATATATATATATATGGTCGACTGACTTTAGAAGATTATAGAGATCCAGAAAGCAGGAGATAATTGACAAAATAAGTTAATATGATGATGATTTTTTTGTAATAAATTATTAACGAAAATCCGTTAAACTAAAGATAAATAGTTACTCACCAGTTACTTATCCCTCGAGTTACTCACCAGTGAAGGTATGCGTCGAATTACTCACCAGTGAAGGTATGCCTTGAATTACTCACCAGTGAAGGTATCCCTCGAATTACTCACCAGTGAAGGTATGCCTTGAATTACTCACCAGTGAAGGTACGCCTCGAATTACTCACCAGTGAAGGTATGCCTCGAATTACTCACCAGTGAAGGTATGCCTCGAATTACTCACCAGTGAAGGTATGCCTCGAATTACTCACCAGTGAAGGTACGCCTCGAATTACTCACCAGTGAAGGTACGCCTCGAATTACTCACCAGTGAAGGTATGCCTCGAATTACTCACCAGTGAAGGTATGCCTCGAATTACTCACCAGTGAAGGTATGCCTCGAATTACTCACCAGTGAAGGTACGCCTCGAATTACTCACCAGTGAAGGTATGCCTCGAATTACTCACCAGTGAAGGTATGCCTCGAATTACTCACCAGTGAAGGTATGCCTCGAATTACTCACCAGTGAAGGTATGCCTCGAATTACTCACCAGTGAAGGTACGCCTCGAATTACTCACCAGTGAAGGTATGCCTCGAATTACTCACCAGTGAAGGTATGCCTCGAATTACTCACCAGTGAAGGTATGCCTCGAATTACTCACCAGTGAAGGTACGCCTCGAATTACTCACCAGTGAACGTATGCCTCGAATTACTCACCAGTGAAGGTATGCCTCGAATTACTCACCAGTGAAGGTATGCCTCGAATTACTCACCAGTGAAGGTACGCCTCGAATTACTCACCAGTGAAGGTATGCCTCGAATTACTCACCAGTGAAGGTATGCCTCGAATTACTCACCAGTGAAGGTATGCCTCGAATTACTCACCAGTGAAGGTATGCCTCGAATTACTCACCAGTGAAGGTATGCCTCGAATTACTCACCAGTGAAGGTATGCCTCGAATTACTCACCAGTGAAGGTATGCCTCGAATTACTCACCAGTGAAGGTATGCCTCGAATTACTCACCAGTGAAGGTATGCCTCGAATTACTCACCAGTGAAGGTATGCCTCGAATTACTCACCAGTGAAGGTACGCCTCGAATTACTCACCAGTGAAGGTATGCCTCGAATTACTCACCAGTGAAGGTATGCCTCGAATTACTCACCAGTGAAGGTATGCCTCGAATTACTCACCAGTGAAGGTACGCCTCGAATTACTCACCAGTGAAGGTATGCCTCGAATTACTCACCAGTGAAGGTATGCCTCGAATTACTCACCAGTGAAGGTATGCCTCGAATTACTCACCAGTGAAGGTATGCCTCGAATTACTCACCAGTGAAGGTATGCCTCGAATTACTCACCAGTGAAGGTATGCCTCGAATTACTCACCAGTGAAGGTATGCCTCGAATTACTCACCAGTGAAGGTACGCCTCGAATTACTCACCAGTGAAGGTATGCCTCGAATTACTCACCAGTGAAGGTATGCCTCGAATTACTCACCAGTGAAGGTATGCCTCGAATTACTCACCAGTGAAGGTATGCCTCGAATTACTCACCAGTGAAGGTATGCCTCGAATTACTCACCAGTGAAGGTACGCCTCGAATTACTCACCAGTGAAGGTACGCCTCGAATTAGTCACCAGTGAAGGTATGCCTCGAATTACTCACCAGTGAAGGTATGCCTCGAATTACTCACCAGTGAAGGTATGCCTCGAATTACTCACCAGTGAAGGTATGCCTCGAATTACTCACCAGTGAAGGTACGCCTCGAATTACTCACCAGTGAAGGTATGCCTCGAATTACTCACCAGTGAAGGTATGCCTCGAATTACTCACCAGTGAAGGTATGCCTCGAATTACTCACCAGTGAAGGTATGCCTCGAATTACTCACCAGTGAAGGTATGCCTCGAATTACTCACCAGTGAAGGTACGCCTCGAATTACTCACCAGTGAAGGTACGCCTCGAATTACTCACCAGTGAAGGTATGCCTCGAATTACTCACCAGTGAAGGTATGCCTCGAATTACTCACCAGTGAAGGTATGCCTCGAATTACTCACCAGTGAAGGTACGCCTCGAATTACTCACCAGTGAAGGTATCCCTCGAATTACTCACCAGTGAAGGTATCCCTCGAATTATTCACCATTGAGGTATTTCTCGAATTACTCACCATAAGGTATCCCTGAAGTTACCAGTGAAAGTATCTCTCGAGTAACTAGTGACAGGATCCATGAAAGTATCCATCAAGTTACTCACCAATGAATGTATCAAGTTACCAGAAAGTATCCATCTAGATACTCACCAGTGGCAGGATCCCTCAAGTTACCAGAAAGTATCCATCTAGATACTCACCAGTGGCAGGATCCCTCAAGTTACCAGAAAGTATCCATCTAGATACTCACCAGTGGCAGGATCCCTCAAGTTACCAGCGAATGTAACCCTCAAGTTAGTCACCAGTGAAGGTATCCCTCAAGTTAGTCACCAGTGAAGGTATCCCTCAAGTTAGTCACCAGTGAAGGTATCCCTCAAATTAGTCACCAGTGAAGGTATCCCTCAAGTTAGTCACCAGTGAAGGTATCCGTCAAGTTAGTCACCAGTGAAGGTATCCCTCAAGTTAGTCACCAGTGAAGGTATCCCTCAAGTTAGTCACCAGTGAAGGTATCCCTCAAGTTAGTCACCAGTGACGGTATCCCTCAAGTTAGCCACCAGTGACGGTATCCCTCAAGTTAGCCACCAGTGACGGTATCCCTCAAGTTAGCCACCAGTGACGGTATCCCTCAAGTTAGCCACCAGTGACGGTATCCCTCAAGTTACTCACCAGTGAAGGGATCCAAGGAAGAGTTGGCACTGAGCAGAGGCAGTCTTCTTCCCTTTTGGTACCAGGTGAGCACGGGGGAAGGTCGACCACCTGAGCTTCGACAGGTGAGTTCTGTTCTCTCAGCCTCGCCCAGAGGACCCACCGCGCCCACCACCGCACGCCCACGCCACAGCACAATGGGCGGACCCGGTGGAACTAGATAGCAGATGGGAAAAAGCAGAAAAGAGAAAATATTGAATCAGAACTGCATATTTCTCTCTCTCTCTCTCTCTCTCTCTCTCTCTCTCTCTCTCTCTCTCTCTCTCTCTCTCTCTCTCTCTCTCTCTCTCTCTCTCTCTCTCATTCTCTCTGTTAAAAATTGGTGAAATGTTTTTAGTTAGGTTTTTAGTGTTTTAATTAAGTTTTTAATACTATTTTCGGTCGAGTATATTAGGTGTTTGTGAACTTGATTACAAGGTTTTATTTGGAGTATAAATTCGTTTTTCTGATCTTCAAATATTTGTGGTCATTGGTGGTCAAGCGAATATATTTGTTTAATCGCTGCTGCTGTTAAAATTACTATAGCTAAAATCATTGCTGCTGTATTAAAATCATTGCTTTGGTAAAATCGTGTTAAAACTCAGTTGGATAAAATCAAGTGGATTAAAATCGCTTCTGCTGTGTGAAAATCGCTTCTGCTGTGTGAAAATCGCTTCTGCTGAAGTAGCGACATAAGCAAGTTTGCTGATGGCACCAGACTAGGTAATCTAATTCATTCTAATGAGGACATTAGAGCACTCCATGAAGATTTGAACAGACTGATGTAGTAGTCGGAGAAGTGGCAGATGCAGTTTAATATAGACAAATGCAAAGTTCCAAACATTGGACAGAAAAATAACCATGCCACATATAAATAATGTAGATCTTAATATTACTGATTGTGAAAAGGATTTAGGAGTTCTGGTTAGCAGTAATCTAAAACCAAGACAACAGTGCATAAGTGTTCGCAATAAAGCTAACAGAATCCTTGGCTTCATATCAAGGAGCATAACAAATAGGAGTCCTCAGGTTGTTCTTCAACTCTATATACATTTGGTTAGGCCTCATTTAGACTATGCTGCCCAGTTCTGGTCACTGTATTACAGAATGGATATAAATACACTGGAAAACGTACAAAGGAGTATGACAAAGTTGATCCCATGTATAAGAAATCTTCCCTATGAGGATAGACTGAAGGCCCTGAATCTGCACTCTATCTAAAGGCGTAGAATTAAGAGGGATATGATGAGCTGTATAAATGGAAAACAGGAATAAATAAAGGGAATGTAAATAGCGTGCTAAAAATATCTAGCCAAGATAAAGCTCGCAAAAATGGTTTCATGTTGGAAAAATTCAGATTCAGGAAGGACATAGGAAAGCACTGGTTTGGTAAGAGTTGTGGATGAGTGGAACAAACTCCTGAGTACCGTCATAGAAGCTAAGACATTGCGTAGTTTTAAAAATAGATTGGATAAATACATGAGTGAGTGTGGGTGGGTGTGAGTTAGACCTGACTAGCTTGTGCTAATAGGTCTGATGCTGTGTCCTTCCTTAAGTGGATGTGACCTGACCTGACTAGGTGGGTCATTGGTTTAACCCGGGAGGTGAGTTGGACCTGCCTCGCATGGGACAGTTGGCCTGCTGCAGTATTCCTTCTTTATGTTCATAAGCAAAAATCTTATGTGTGTAAAAATCGCTGCTGCTGTGTTCAAAAATCCCCTCAGCTGTGTGTAAAAATCGCTTTTGCTGCGTGAAAATTGCTTCTGCCAGAAAATCGCTCCTGTTGCCTGAAAATCGCTTATGCTGTTGAAATCACAGCTTTAGTAATGTGAGTGTGTGTGTGGGAAGACAAGATGAATAGCTGGAGTTTTTAATTGCCTGCTGGAGATCAAACGAATGCTTTAATTGTCTGGTAGAGATTAAATTGATGTCCGAATTGCCCGAGGGATATGTAACTGATGTTTTCATTCCCTGCAGGAGAAGGTATTGGGGATGGAATTCATGGGAATGAAACTGATGAGATGGATTTATATTTGTTGTAATTTGTGAGGAGGAATTTCTTGTAATTGGTTAGTAGGAATTATATTTGTTGCAGTTTGTTTGGAGGAATTTGTGTTCTTATTGGTTAGATGAATAATATTTGCTGTAACTTGTGAGGAATTTCTTGTAATTGGTTAGAAGGAATTATATTTGTTGCAATTTATGAGGAGGAATTTGTGTTGTAATTCATTAGAATGAATTTATCTTCTAATTAGTTAGAAGGAATTATATTGTTGTAATTGGTTAAAATTATTGGGTATCCCCGAAAGGAGGTTGCCTGATTTTCAATTCCACCTCATTTGCGATATTATTTCAATCATAACTCCAAAACGCCTCATGCAATCGGCTTGAAATTTTCGACACTTGTGTAGGGTAACAAAGACCAAATTCTTGGAACAATTGGCACGTTCACGTGCCCTATGACCAAAGTTGTTGACCCCAATTCCCAGCACCCTGGTATGGCTGGGATAACTTTCAAAATCCTCGGTGGCTATGCTTCAAGCGTTAAAAAAAAGTGGAGCCTAAAAATTCGACGAGGGTGGAGAGTGAAAGTCATGTGTGTTGATGTAGATCTGATCATTCTGTGCTGAAAAAAAAATGTGAAATGTTTATTCTCATTAAATAGAGTAAAAAAAAATTTTGTTTACCTCTTCTAAAAGACTTCAGTATTTAATGGGTGATGTGTCCCTTAAGTTTCGTTTGCGTGAAGGCAAATTTACTGATGTAATAGTAAAAATAAAACTGGAATAGCTAGAATCCGTCCTATAACTAGAGAATGACTCTTCTGATCGGCTTCAAATTTTCATCAGTGGTGTGGTTTCCAGAACGCACGGCTCACTCAGACAACAGTTCCTCGAAATTACGAAATTATTGTAGCACGCAGATTATGTCCATAAGGAAGCGCAAAGGCCTGAAGGGATCATACAGCATCTGGGGAATGCTAGGTAAACAGTTCGATGCAAAGGAGGGGAAGAGGGCTCCAGTTTCTTGGATCAAGATCCCGCCAACGTCATCAAGACACCCCTCCCCCCCGCACCTCCCCAGTTAAAGGGAATAATCTGTAGTGAACTTAATATTTTGTGAAATGTTAGGATTGCAACACTAATATCAGCACTTAGGTCAGCACATTTCGGTCAACAATTAGGCCAGCACTTAGGTCTGTACCTATGTGAACACGAGTGCCTTCTAAATTAGTAAATTATGCCAATGAGAAAATGTAAGGCGCGTAGAATACTTATGAAGCTTGTAGGAGAGTTGCAACCAATAAATGTCTGTAATAAAAAGTAATTATATACGCCTGTAAGGGATAATTAGATATAATTTTATTCAAACAAAAACTGGGAGAAAAGGAGGAGAGGGAGGGATGGAGGGGAGGGGAGGGGAGGGAGGGATGGAGGGGAGGGGAGGGGAGGGAGGTGGGGAAAGGATGGGAGAAGGGGAAAGGCACAAAAAAAAAAAAAAGTGAAGGAAGATGCACAAACCACAAGATTGTCTCTGGTAGCTGGGAGAGTCATGCCGAAGGTGATGGTAGCGAGTACGTACGTGCAGGCACGCAACGCACGCACATGAGCACATACGCAACGCACGCACGCACGCGCACTTGCGCACAAAAAAATCTCGAATACCATATAAACAACCTTTAAAATGGCTTTGAAATACTCTGATGGAGGAATGTTTACAAAAATACTGCTTATAAATTGTGTCAGTCTACAATATTAATATGCGAGAGTAGTAAATAAAATAGAAACCGACCAGAGAAAGGCAGCAGAACAACTCAGAGTTAGGGGGGGGGGAACGTAAGTTATGTTGACTGACATAAGAGGAAACATAACCGGGTGCAAAAATTAAAATAAAAGGAACTTTCATTTCACTGTAGCGAGGCCATTATAACAACAGAAAGAACAAGAGGTCACATTATAACAACAGGGAGAACAAGAGGTCACATAACAGGAAGAACAAGGTCACATTATAACAGGGAGAACAAGATGTCACACTCTTCAGTGAGGGGAAAAACAGTATCGAAAAGATTATTATTAAGGTTCTTCTCACATTTAGAGGTATGGTCTTCCGAAGTGGAATAAATTAGCAGGCAGTAAATCCTATAGTCCCTGGAATACTCAAGAAACTCTATGACAAACGCCTTCTTGGGGAGGGGCCTTGATGCTGGTCAAAGGCTCTTGATCTGGCGAATTTAAGCTATCCATATGGATAAAACCTGATTACCTCTTATTCCCCAGGCGATGTATGACCCATACAGGGTTACCGCTTCCCACTAATATAGCAACAGTTGTATCACAAAGCAGTCAATGAAGTCGCTGCACCACGAACGCAGTTCAGACCCTAAAAGTACACTTGGGTAACTACAAACATCCCTGTGAAGGAAGACGAGGAAAAAAATCAAGAGTGAAAATTTGGATCCCAGAGTGGTTTAGACTGCAGCAACTGCAAACTCGTAAAAAAAAAATTCTCCCCACAAGCCAACAAAGAAAAAAGTGTGTGATGCGGGAATTCAGGGAAGTCAGCTGATTCACGAATCCGTTAGTCCTCCTAAGTCTTGGGAAGGGGGTAAGGAGGTGGGGGGGAGGGGTTGAAGTAACATGAGAATAGGGGGTTGACAGTACCTAGTCCATGAGACTACAACCATCGCTGCCATATTTCTTTTATTCACTCTTAAATTGTAAGTCTAATTTAGTGATGAAGCCTGTAGAGCAGGGGTCGGTATCGTACCGCCCGTGGACAGGATCCTGCCCACACCTGAGGGAGGTCTTCTGAGACGTAAGTTCATCAAACATACGACACTACACCCACATACACTGCTCTTTGTGGAATCAGAGGTAAGCAACCCAGCTATCTGGAAACGGGATGGCGGGTTTCCTGGACTGGATTAAGTTAATGACTTCACTGGATAATTAACTGATCAGTCATTCACCTAAACAGACACCCTCTATTATACACATGTGACACAGTTATAGAAATATTATTTAATCTATTGGAGTTTATCGTTTTGTGTGTGTGTGTGTGTGTGTGTGTGTGTGTGTGTGTGTTGTGTAAAAACAGGGATAATTGTAATATTGGTTATGGAGATGATTTTTTTTACTTTGGGGAAAATCATTTTTTTCTAAATTAGTGAGTAAAAA